TTCACTCCTTGGCTGAGGACACTATCCAAGGGTCGTCCTATGTCTCCACCAGTTCAGACACACTGGCTCATATACACACTGCATCCCTTCAACATGAGCAGTTTTGTGATCTCAAATGCAAGTGAAGGCAAGTGACAGTGGGAACCCCCTACTCACCAGCAACATGTCACTGAACTTGTTTGTGCTGGACCAGAAGGACAATGCACCAGAAATCCTGGACCCTACTCTCCCCACTGACATGTTCCACCATCATGGAACTGGTACCCTGCTCCACAGAACCTGGCTACCTGGTGACCAAGGTGGCTATAGACAGAGACTTGTGTCAGAACACCAGGCCTACCACCTGTTCAAGGCCAGTGAGCCAGGGCTCTTCATGGTAGGACTCCACACAGGAAAGGTGTGCACTGCATGGGCCCTGCTGCACAGAGACTGGCTCAAGCAGAGCCTGGTGGTGGTGGTCCAGGACCAAGGCCAGCCCCCTCTCTCGGCCACTTTCACCCTCACTGCAGCCTTGGCCCACAGCATCCCCGGTGGCCTGGCTGACCTCAACAGTCTGGAGGTCCTCACCTACCCAGAGATCTCAGACCTCACATTATACTTGGTGGTGACAGTGGCTGCAGTGTCCTGTATCTTCCTCACCTTTGTCATTGTGTGCTCAGGTTGTGGCATTGGCACATCTCAAATCTGCTGCAGGCTGCAGGGCTTGGATTGGCTGTGCCTACTTCTTTGTGGGCGTGGATAGGTGTGGGCTTTCCTGCAGACCTATTCCAGGAAGCCTCACACAGGGCAGGCTCCTGAGAGAGTCACATGATCTTTCCACAGCCCAAGTATGACAATATGCTGATCAGCCAGGAGGGCTCTAGGAAAAATGACCATTTGTGCGCTTCAGATGATTCCAGGTTTCCTATAGAAAATACCTCTTTGGGGGCGCCTGGGTGGCTCAGTTACTTAAGCATCAAACTTCCGCTCAGGTCATGATCCCACAGTTCACAAGTTTGAGCCCTGTGTCGGGCTCTGTGCTGACAGCTCAGAGCCTGGAGCCTGCTCAGATGTGTCTCCCTCTCCCTCTGCCCCTCCTCCACTTGTGCGCGCGCTCTCTCTCTCTCTTCTCAGAAATAAACATTAAAAAAAATTTTTTTTTAAGAAAATACTTCTTTGGCTCCAGTGAGTTCAACTTTTTCCTTTATTTTCTCTTATGATTTGGTTTTCTCTTTAAGGTTTCCACTTAAGGTATGATACATTCTCTTTAACATATTTCTCACCATCCAAGTTTTACTGGGCCTTGTTTTGTTCTAACATCTATAGGAGGCATTTACTGGTTATATCACTGATATAAGTTTCTCATAATTAACCTAAATTAACCTAGGGTCAATGGATATCTTTTTCATGGGGCTTCTCTCATTATTGAGCCATTGATATGGGCTATTGGGGTGGGGTTCCTTGGTTGATTATCAGTTCACTACTAATTCTTAGAGGTGGTTTTCCATTCCTGAAATTTATTATTGTTGCTATCTTCAGTGGCCACATAGTGAACTTCCTACTTATCTTTGAACTTCTTACATACCTCTGAAACATAAATACAGCTGACACTACGTGAAGGTAAATTAATGAGAAAACACATGCATTCTTCTTGAAGAAACTGAGAGCCCAGATTTTTCTGCTTCTGCTTTTCTGTTTCTATTATAGGACAACCCCCCTTTGAGGTTATGTTTTCCAGATCACATGTTTGTAGAGGTTGTTTGAATTTAAAGATCACTTCTGAGTAAGAATCACAATTCACTTAGAGGGGTTTCTGAGAATGAACACTGTTGAGGACAAAACAAGGGAAATAAACATTATTCAACTGTCTGTTATTTATGGCTCAATTCTCCAACCTTGAGGCTAGAAATAAACCTGGATAAGGAAGACAACTTAGGAAAATATTCTCAGGAACTGCTGGAAGAGGTTCTAAGAATATTTTACTAGCTTTTAGATATAGGAAAGGAATAATATTTTTTCAAGTTTATTTTTTGAGGAGGGGGGCAATGAGTGGGGGAGGGGCAGAGAGGGGACAGAAGAACCCAAGCAGGCTCCGCACAGAGAGCAGAAAACCTGATGTGGGGCTCAAACTCTTAAACCACGAGATGATGACCTGAGCTGAAATCAAACATGACTGACTGAGCGACCCAGATGCCCCTATTTCATTTTATTTTAAACATAGTGGCATTCCGAGTAATAAATGACTTTCTAGGAGACTTTAAAAATAAACTATGAAGTTGACTCAAAAATTCTATTTGAAAAGTGCTGGCTAATAGGGGTAACATCTGGACAGCCATTATGACATACAGATGTTATACTGATTTCAAATACTCCTTACTCCTAATTTAGTAGGAAAAAATTAAAGCATGCTTCAGGATCATATTTTTAACTATGAAATAGGAAAACTGTCACTTGAAGTTTCTGTCCTCGCGAGTAACCATTGGTACTTAGTATTTACAAATATTAAGTATGTGTTAACTTGGGAAAAAACATAACATAGTGATGAAGGCTTGTAGGTCAGTAACTACTATTCTCTACCATTAATATCACTTGCCTTTAAAACAGAACACAAAGCTCACTGGGTGAATGGGCAGTGTGGAAAATGTTGAATTCTAGTTTTCTTAAACTAGATAGACTTTTGTATTGGTAACATTTTATATAACAAAATAGGCTTAAATATAAAATCCTTATTAATCTTAATGTTTCATCTTAAAAGAAGAGTTAAAGTATCTTGGATTTGCTTCAAAATAATGAGGGTGTACAAATTATATTAAATGAAGATGGCCTTGTGTTGATCGTTATTGTCATTGGGTGATGAGTATATGAAGATTCAATAATAATACTCCCTACTTTGTAGAAGTGTGAAATTTTCCTATAATAAATTTCTTTAAAACACTAAGCATATAGTCTGTAATAATATAATACTAAAATTAGGGGCTATTATATAAGTTCATTTTCAAGAAGCAATATATACATATTCTATATATAGAGAAATAAATATCGTATGTTTCTATTTGTATGTAATTGGCCCCCAGTCCTCCGTGTTGCAGTTGACAGCCACTCAGGAGGACGAGGGGGTCAATGCAGAAGTAAACAACTACCTCAGGAGCACTTCACAGAGTACAGGGCATATATATAAATATGTATAGGAATTTCGAAGAGGAATATATATATTATAGAGATTGTAGAGAACAATTGGATTCAAGAGGAAAATGCCTGCGGTTCCACACGGGGCCTCTGGGCGCCGCTGTCGGCCAGTACAGGGCAAGCGCAGTCGCCTGGGATTTCTGTCTCCAGCCTGGGATTTCCTGGGCAGTCACCAACACAGAAGAAAATCTGCTCATACAACTGGGTCTCCTGGAGGCGCAGACTTTACCCAACATTTACGGATTCCCAGGTACGCTTGTCATGGGTGGAATGCTCTTCCAGTGACGCCGTGGATTGCAGTTTCTTTGACATTCCGGAAAGACTGGGACCCAGCGAGAACTAGAGCGCGCAATGGGAGGGAGCTGCGTTCAGAGGCGCCCGGCCGGCAGGCGGCAGGTACTGTTTCCCTTCCTGCTACCTTTGTTCTACCCCGCGCTCTGCGAGCGATCCTTCTTTCGATTCCCGAGGGGCCTGGCCAAGGAGCTCAGTGGTGGGAACCTCGCCAAGGATCTCGGGCTCAGTGTCCTGGACGTGTCAGCTAGGAAGCTGCGAGTCAGCACGGAGAAGCTGCTTTTCAACGTAGGCATGAAGGCGGGGGGGACTTACTGGTGAAGGACCCGAATAGACGGGGCAGATGCAAAGAGAGAAGAAGATGTGAGTTGCAGTTGGAAGCCGTGGTGGAAAAGTCTTCGTATCTTTCATTTAGCCAGTTGTTGAGGTCAGCAATGACCATGCCCCCCCCTCAATTCGATAAAAAGGAAATACTTTAGAAATTTTTGAATCTGTATCAGAAGGTGCACGGGCTATCCACTTGACCCTGCCACTATTTGTCTCAACGAACTCAGTTAAAGATTATCAGATAAATCCTAGCCATATTTCTCATTAATGGTTGAAGTTATTCGATGAGTGGTAAATATCAGAAGTTGGCTTTGGAAGAAACTCTAGACAGGGAAGGAGCGCTCATCACTTGATATTGGCTGCCTTGAATGGTGGGAACCGCAAAGAAGTGCCACCACTAGAATAGAAATCTCTGTCAGGGATGCTAATGATAACTTTCAGTGTTCAGCAAGATGAATACAGAATCAGTATTAGTGAAAATCTGCCCCATGGATCCTCCGTGTTGCAGGTGACAGCCACTGACAGGATGAGGGGGGTCAATGCAGAAGTGAACTACTACTTCAGGAGCACTGCTGGAGGCTAAGGTATGTTCTTGCTGAATGAGAAAACAGGTATGATTAAGAACAACCAGTCATTGGATTTTGAGGATATAGAAAGATATGCGCCACCATGAGTGGAAGCAAGGGATGGAGGTGGACTCTCACAATGTAAAGTAATCATTGAAGTGAAAACGACAACAGGCCAGAAATAATCATCACCTCTCTCTGTGATAGGCAGGAGGATTCTCTTCTGAGATTGGTTGTTGTTCTCTTCAAAACACCCGGGACAAGGTTTCGGAAATGGAGAGTCACATGTAACATAGAAAAGGATATTCCTTTCAGATTTACTCCTCTTCTAATAATTACTACAAACTGACTGACAGATGGACCCCTAGACCGAACAGACTCGGAATACCAACGTCACCATCACAGCCACTGACAGGAACTCGCCCCTATCCTCAACACTACCATCACCTTGCACATCACCGATGTCAGTAACACCGCAATTTTTTTTCCCGCGGGCCTCCTATGTGGTCCTGGCTGAAATAACCCTCCAGGAGCCTCATCGCCCGATCAGCGCCTCCGACCGACCTGGGCCCAACGGCCGTAATCCTGCTCCATCGTGACGGCGACCTGGAGCCACGGGCGCTGGCGTCCTACGTGTCCGTGAGCGCGCAGAGCGGCGTGGTGTTCGCGCAGCGCGCCTTCGACCACGAGCAGCTGCGCGCCTTCGAGCTGACGGTGCAGGCCCGCGACCAGGGCTCGCCCGCGCTCAGCGCCAACGTGAGCCTGCGCGTGTTGGTGGGCGACCTGAGCAACGACAACGCGCCTAGGGTGCCGTACCCGGCGCTGGGGCCCGACGGCTCGGCGCTCTTCGACACGGTGCCGCGCGCCGCGCAGCCCGGCTACCTGGTCACCAAGGTGGTGGCGGTGGACGCCGACTCGGGACACAATGCGTGGCTGTCGTACCACGTGCTGCAGGCCAGCGAGCCCGGACTCTTCAGCATGGGGCTGCGCACGGGCGAGGTGCGCACTGCGCGTGCTTTGGGCGACAGGGACGCGGCCCGCCAGCGCCTGCTGGTCGCCGTGCGGGACGGGGGACAGCCGCCCCTCTCTGCCACCGCCACGCTGCACCTGGTTTTCGCCGACAGCCTCCAAGAAGTACTGCCGGATGTCAGCGACCGTCCGGAGCCCTCTGACCCCCAGGCCGAGCTGCAGTTTTACCTGGTGGTGGCTTTGGCCTTGATCTCGGTGCTCTTCCTCCTTGCGGTGATTCTGGCGGTGGCCCTGCGCCTGCGCCGCTCCCCCAGCCCCGCTGCCTGGGGCTGCTTTCAGCCTGGTCTTTGTGTCAAGTCTGGACCTGTGGTTCCTCCTAACTACAGTGAGGGGACTTTGCCTTATTCCTACAATTTGTGCGTTGCCCAAACCGGAAAGGCAGAGTTTAACTTCCTAAAATGTAATGAGCTCTTGCATTCCACTCAAGACATAGTTTGCGGTGATTCGTCTGGGGCCTTAATTCCACTTCAGGGTGGGCATGATTTGACTGCACATCCTGAGATGCTCACACCGGTGAGTTACATTTTTGTGTCTTCTGAAACATTCTATTGTTTTCTCTTATTTGAGGCATACTATTGTATTTTTTAATATGAGTCATATTTGGAAAATCCATAACTAATCACCTTGTCTCAGTATTTACTTTTTGCAAATTATATTTTTCAAGAGTTACTTGGTTTGTAAGTGCTCTATAATTCAGCAATAATGTCACTAAATTGGCGATATCTAGTCAAGCTCAGATTAGCAAAACAGGCAGTGGCTTCTTACTGAATAAATTAATAAGTAATTACTCAAGTTTGTTAAGATTTAAGATGAATTTTCCATATTCTACTTATATATTTTGAGTATAATAATATTAAGCCACTCATTAAATATTCAAGCAGGTGCTTGTTTCAAAGAAACATTTATTGTAAATAATATCCTGGCTATATTTAGGTATCTTCATTTATTCTAATAATTAAAATAACTAAGCATTTGAGGGGAGATGGTGAACAAATCGAAAAGTTTCTGAAATTCTATGCAAAGTTATAGAAATACGTATTTTCCTTGGGAGATGAGTCAAACTTGTTTTCCATTGCCAAGGTTTCTATGCTCCCCAGAACTTAATAATAACTACCCTAGAGGATTTTTTCTCTTCAGCATTTGGTTCTTCTGGCTTTCTTCTTATGTTTATTTATCTTTTCTTGGAGCTCAAATTGTACTCTTTCCTAATCTTTTTTCCTCTACATTGAAAAAGAATGAATTTCTAAGAAAGCAAATGAACTGTCACTGCCTTTTGCACTCAGTCTCTGTCTCTAATTGTCTGATATAAAGTCTTTGAAGACAAAATATAAAATCTTTGAAAAGTTCCACACTTTGGAGGCATAGTGACATAAATGGTCCTGAACAACCTGTTCTCTGTATAAAAGATGTGAACCTCTAAACTCCTCACCTTTGGGGAGAGAACTTCTGCTGGGTTGATGGGCAGGTAGAATTGAAGATGTCTGAACCACTTCACTTTGGGCTTCCATACAAAGTGCCAGAAGAGATTGTTTGTATGGGCATCAATGCTCTGATGAAAACAGATCATTTGAGTAAATACTTGCTTAAAAAAAAAACACCCTACATCATTATTTTGTTTTTAAAAATTGTAGCTTGAAATTCTTATATTTTTCTTCCCATTACCACACAGACATGTTATACTCCTTTTAGTTTGTGGTTACTTCATTAATTTAAATAGGTCAAATTAACTTCTAATTATATATGCCTACAATAAAAAAAAACATTGTTTTCAAAACAGTTCATGGAGGCTCAATAAAACTATTTTAGAAAAGAATATTTTGAAAAATTTTTACACAATATTAATCATCAACAAATTTAATTAATTGGCCAATTAGTTAAAGCTAAAATAAAAATTATAAGTGAATATAGCTAGAAATGAGTATGTTTCTACTCAGAAAGTGTTACAAATATGTGTATTTGACCAGTTATTTTCATTTGATATTTTATAGTACTTTCCATTTATCCTACCCAATAAGCAATCTACAAGTAGTAGTTGACTTAAGGGATATCAGTTGAGAAGCCATAGAAATATTGTAAAGTAAAATGAAAGATCCAACAAAGAGTACCGTGTTTTCCATTGCACACATAGTGGGTGCAGTAACTTCTCAGGACTCTGAGCGCCGCTGTTCTCCCAGAGAAACGCAGCCAGTGCTCAATCCAGATTCTCAGGGCTCCGACTACGCGAAGCTCCTCAGTTCCTACAAACCGGCTCCAGGGTTGCAGTGAAACTCACTCCAGAATTTGAGGTGCGTAGGCTACAGAGGCTCCCAGCAGCCAGAGAAAGAAAAAGGAGTCGTTAAAACACACAACGTGCCCAGTGATTACTTGGCGAGAATTCCTTGACTAGACAACAATGGCTGCTAAAAGGAACCACTCCAACCGCAAAGCGCTGGTTTTGTTCTGTCTTTTCCTCGGTTTGTCATGGGAGGCTGAAGCCCGGCAGATCCGCTACTCCGTTCCTGAGGAGTTAGAGAAAGGCTCTTTCGTCGGCAACATCTCCAAGGACCTGGGGCTGGAGCCCTGGGAGCTGGCTGAGCCTGGAGTCCGCATCGTCTCCAGAGGTAGGACACAGCTTTTCGCTCTGAACCCGAGAAGTGGCAGTTTGGTCACCGCAGGCAGGATAGACCGGGAGGAGCTCTGTGGTCAGAGTGCACGGTGTCTGGTGAATTTTAACATTCTTGTGGAAGATAGGGTGGAACTTTTTGGGATAGAAATAGAAATAACTGATGTCAACGATAATGCCCCAAAATTCCAAGCAGAAAATGTAGAGGTAAAAATTAATGAAAATGTCGCTCCAGGAATGCGTTTTCCTCTCCTGGAAGCTGTTGATCCAGACGTGGGTGTGAACTCCCTCCAGAGCTACCAGCTCAGCTCCAATAAGTACTTCTCATTAGCAGTTCAGAGTCATGCCAGTGGTGTCAAATACCCGGAGCTGGTACTGAAGCACGCCCTGGATCGTGAGGAAGAGGCACTACACCACCTGGTCCTCACTGCCTCCGATGGGGGTGACCCTCTCCTATCTGGTACAGTTCTCATCAGTGTGATCGTCTTTGATACAAATGACAATGCACCGGTCTTTACCTTGCCAGAATACCGAGTGAGTGTTCTGGAGAACTTGCCTGTGGGCACACAGCTGCTTACAGTCACTGCCACAGACAGGGATGAAGGAGCCAATGGAGAAGTCACATATTCATTCCGAAAATTTGTTCCTGACAAATTGTTGAAATTCCAACTAAACAAAAATACTGGGGAAATAAAATTATCAGAAAATCTAGACTACGAAGAAACAGATTTCTATGAATTAGAAATACAAGCAGAAGATGGAGGAGCATATCTTGCAATGGCAAAAGTATTGATTACAGTAGAAGATGTAAATGACAACAATCCAGAGGTGACCATCACATCTCTGTTTAGTCCCCTGATGGAAGACTCACCTCCGGGAACTATTATAGCCCTTTTAAATGTGCATGATCCAGACTCTGGGCAGAATGGACAGGTCACCTGTTCCATATCAGGCAATCTACCATTTAAGTTAGAGAAATCCATTGACGGTTATTATAGACTGGTGACACACAGAACCCTTGACAGGGAACAGGTATCCTCTTACAATATCACAGTGACAGCCACAGATGGAGGAAATCCACCCCTATTAACAGAAACTCACTTCACTGTGCAAGTGGCAGATATTAATGACAACCCACCCACTTTTTCCCACATCTCCTACTTCACCTATATCCCGGAGAACAACCCCAGAGGTGCCTCCATCTTGTCTGTGACTGCACTAGACCCAGACAGCAAAGAGAATGCTCAGGTTATTTACTCCCTAGCTGAAGACACTTTCCAGGAAGCACCTCTATCCTCCTACGTCTCCATAAACTCTGACACAGGAGTCCTGTATGCGTTGCGAACTTTCGACTATGAGCAATTTCATGATCTACAGATTCAGGTGATTGCCACTGACAGTGGGGACCCACCTCTCAGCAGCAATGTTTCTGTGAGCATATTTGTGCTGGACCAGAATGACAATGCACCAGAGATCCTGTACCCCACCCTACCCACTGACACTTCCACTGGAATGGAGCTGGCACCCCGTTCTTCAGAGTCCGGCTATTTGGTCACTAAGGTGGTGGCAGTGGACAAAGACTCAGGTCAGAATGCCCGACTGTCCTACCGCCTGCTCAAGGCCAGCGAACCAGGGCTCTTCGCAGTGGGGCTGCACACAGGCGAGGTGCGCACAGCACGGGCCCTGCTGGACAGGGATGCGCTCAAGCAGAGCCTGGTTGTGGCGGTGCAGGACCATGGCCAGCCCCCTCTCTCAGCCACCGTCACACTCACTGTGGCCATTGCTGACAGCATCCCAGATGTCCTGGCTGACCTGGGCAGTCTGGAAGTTCCACGTGACTCCGAAGCTTCAGGTCTAACGCTATATCTGGTCGTGGCGGTAGCCATAGTTTCCTGCATCTTCCTCGCTTTTGTCATCGTGCTACTGGCTCTCAGGTTGAGGCGCTGGCACACATCGCACCAGCTCCAAGCTTCAGGAGGCGGGCTAGTGGGTGTGCCCACCTCCCCCTTTGTGGGCGTGGAAGGGGTGCGGGCTTTCCTGCAGACGTATTCCCATGAGGTCTCCCTCACAGCAGACTCACGGAAGAGTCACGCGATCTTCCCCGAGCCCAACTACGCCGACATGCTCATTAGCCATGAGAGCTTTGAGAAAAAGGATCCTTTGTCTTTGTTAGATGATTTGAAGTTACCTGTAGAAGATAACCCTTTGGTTCCAGTGAGTTCTGGTTTTACTCTTTTTCTTTTAAGAATTATAATTGGTTTTACTTTTAGGTTTGGCATAATGATAGAAAATTTTGGTCTTTATTTTTTTCACTGTTCCCTCCATTTCAATGATATTTGTTTCTTGCTAAAACATTGAAGAGTAGAATTTGATGGTTATTAAGACTGATATGTTTTTATTTTCTGGTAAATATTCACGTAATTCCAATGAAGGCCTATGGTCACAAGGCTGTTACGATTTTGCAGAGCATTCTACTTTATAGTTTTGTTGAGTACAGTACTGACAGTTCCTGAGAGTACCTCCATAAGTGTCTGTCAATTTATGTACACTTCTCTTGGCCACATGCTAAAATCTTAGCCTCTTAGGCAACCTTAGCTCTTGTTTTGAAGGCAGGTCTGGTAAAATAGGTGAATATCAGAGACAAATCCATTAACTTCACTGGAAACAGTGAACAGGTTCCTCAGTGTTGTTTTTCCCAACGAGAAAAGCAATACACCTTTGTGGTTTTATTTTTCAAAATATACCTTACGGTGACAATTACAGTTGAATATACTTCCTAGAAGGATTTAAGTTTTTCATTAATATTCTACTAACAATTGTTAACAATGTGTGCTTAAAATTTTCCAAGTGTAATCATAATTGGTAACAATACATTAGCATCCTTTTTTTAAAGTTTATTTTGAGAGAAAGCGCATGCATTGGAGGGGCAGAGAGAGAGGGAGAGAGAATCCCAAGCAGGCTCCATGCTGTCAGTGCAGAGCCCAACACAGAACACATGGGGCTCAGGCCCACGAACTGAAAGATCATGATCTGAGCCAAAATCAAAAGTCAGATGCTTAACGGACTGAGCTACCTAGGCACCCTGTAACAGTGTAGCATCCTTTTTGCTTGTGATTCTAATTTCATACTGTTATGTGGAAGACAGCATTTTAATTTGACTTTCCTTGCTCACTAGGGATGCTAAAGAACGTATAGAAGGTTAAAGTAAGCAAATTTTGGGTTATGCTGCCAGCATTTTTTGTTAAATTCTCCAAATAAGAAAAAACATTTGTACATGTGCCTAAGAACAGAAGCAAAAGATGAGTTCCAAGGGTATTTCAGTGGCTTTGTAACATAGAAGAAAGAAGATCCACCTGGATTTATGAAAATTCTGACGTTAAGAATCAAAATAAACTAGGTCAAGAAAGAAATGTCATTTCTGTGGGAGATCTGAATATAAGCAGAGAAGTACACAGAAGTATTCTAAACAATCAGTAAGTAGAGTTACTGATGTGGCCATTTACTTTAGTGAAGATGGCGATGTATTTGGTTTGATATCTTACTTTTAACTTATTACTAGTATTCTTCCAAACCAATATGGTAGCATTCAGTCCAAGAATATCCTAATGTGTCTCAAAATATTTATGAGACTGATTTTTCTCATTGTCATCCAACATTTGTTCAACAATAGGTCTATGGAAAGAGAGCACATCCTTTAGGGTCATAGTTATTAGCTTAAATCATTGAAAGTCATTTTAAATCTATCTTTGGGAGTCAAAATTATTACGCATCTATATCTAAATAATTCTGTTCTGAAAAATACAGGGTTTTTAAAAAACTACTCTTTCGGCGTGGTAATTGTTGTGACCAAATCATGTTAATTATTATTTGAAAACAGCACAGAACACCCTAGATGAATGTAATGACTATGGGAATGACAGCCTTCTAATTTCTAAATATGGGAGATGGACTAATGCTTTCTAGCCAAATGTAAGCTACGATTGAAGACAAAAAGATTTTTGCTTATTTTCAGTACTTACCTTTGTGGATAATTACTTTTAAAAGGAACAACAGTGATTACCTCTGGATGCAAGAACTGAATAGCAATGGGCCATGGGATGGAAGAGCTACTTTACACTCTATATTCTTTTGTGCTTTTTTGAATTTTGAAAGAAGTACTTTACTTATTCAAAGTCTATGTAAATTTTTAACATATACAACATATTATAATTTTTACCATATGAAACACGTTTCATGATGAGAATGAAAACATTGAGAAATAAGATTTAGGATATTAGCTGTTATCATCTTACATTTTAACAAGATTTCCTGAAAGAGAAAAACTAGATTGCGGTTCCACACAAAGCCTCTGGGCGCCGCTGTCGGCCAGTACAGGGCAAGTGCTGTCGCCCGGGATTCTTCAGCCTCTAGCCTGGGTGTTCCTGCGCAGTCAACAACACAGAGTGAAGGAACCCCATACACACAGGGGCTTCTGGCCACGCCGACTCTCCCCAGCACACACAGATTCCCAGTCCCAAGACTGGAGGCTCTGTATGTTCTGGGCCTAATGCTACCAGTGCGGTAGCGGGCACTTTTTCTAGCTAGAAAGACTGGGACCCAGCGAGAACTAGAGCGCGCGATGGGAGGGAGCTGCGTTCAGAGGCGCCCGGCCGGCAGGCGGCAGGTACTGTTTCCCTTCCTGCTACCTTTGTTCTACCCCGCGCTCTGCGAGCCGATCCGCTACTCGATTCCCGAGGAACTGGC